GTAACCGTTCTTCTTGCTCAGACTCGTCATTTTATCTTTCCATTATTTCTCTTCGACAGGTCACATAGGTAATAAACCAGGCGCTTCATTTAGCTGTGATGGTCTCGTTCGGCCGCTTGATTCTTACTTCACGAGTCCGACCTCATAATCGATATTGTCCGACCCCATTGCCCCCTGTCATGCCTGGCGTCAGTGGTGTCAAACTGCATCACCGTCTGCACACCACAGTAGACATTTTTGATTGTCATTGAAACTCTTGGAAGTCCTGCTGTGGAGCTCTTCATTGCCTGCTATAATGGGACAATTTGGTTCGCTATCATGTGATATCACAGGGAGTGGACGACAACACAGGGCAACAAAATTTCTTCAACTTTCTGCCGCAAGAGGTTTTACAACATTCTACACGAATGTTTAGTGCTGATTTCAAATCTGAAACCTGTTTTTACTGCATGCTCTAGCTTTGATGCCTTTTGATACTTTATATAAATAGAAGATAAATACCAATTTACTTTCGTTTCAGGTATGACCATGGCTCACTCAGGTCCACATAACCAATGAACCTGATGCATTTTGCTATATATGCGGCTGTTATACACTAGTTTGTCAAGAAAGAAATATCACCCATTAGTAAATGTCACTTCATTTGCAAGATGTGTCCATAAAGCATAGTTTGAAATACCTCTTGATGACCAAGACCAAAAATCTGCACCCCACATTGTTTGCGATAATTGTGAAGAAAGGCTACGTGACTGGACAAAAGCTAAACGCAAAAGCCTGCCATTTGGAGTTCCCATGGTTTGGCAAGAACTTACCAACCTCCTTACAGACTGCTATCTTTGCGTGATTGATACAGAAAGTATTCGCAAGAAAACTCCGGCATAAGATCTCTTATCCCAGTAATTCAATTGGACCCAGTTCACACTCGGAAGAGCTTCCAGTTCCAAAATTTAAAGGTTTTACTTCCTTAGTGGACGTTAACATGGGGCCCAGTTACATGAATCGGCTACAACTTATGAAGACTGCAACTGATGCCGCACTTTCATCAGCTCCCCGCCAGCAATTCAGTCAACAAGAATCGAACGACAGTGCGTGAGGAACAGGTTAACAGTTGTTGGCAGTTCCCGATCGTAGCTGCAACATGATTGTCAACCTGCATTTCTTGACCAGTCATCTTGGTCAATTCCCCGTAGACCTTGGAGCACTAAGATATATCAGGTCATAGACCATCGCTGTGGACACTCGTATTCTGCAAAAACCCTTATATTCAGTTTTCCAAAAATTAGCTTACAGAGCAAAACAATGTCAGATTTGCATTCAACATGCTCAAGTGTTATGAGTGACTGTTACTTTCTTTGCAGCGAAATGTAATTTTGCAATGTACTCTAACGAAAGTATCTAAAAGATGCGAAAGTGAAATGTATCGTCGATTGCGCGTACAGCTTGCAAAGAAAATCAAATGTCAGATTGGAATTAACCATGCTCAAATTATATACGAACCGTAATTCGTTTCTGCGGCAAATGTTTTTGTGCAGTGTAATCAAGCCAGTGGCCACTTTGCTACTGGTGTACTCCGAGCTAAACTAACACGTACCGGCTGCACCGATCCACTTAAGGCTAAGCAAGCGTGTTGGGCGCTACTGGTACCCGATCGATCGGATCGACCTCAACCGACTCGCCATGGGGTCACTGGACCCAGCAGCCAGGCTCGGATCACATGACGTGTCGACTACAGGCTGCCACGTGCTCAGTTCACGTGGTACGTACTAACTGCGGCATGCATAGCGAGATCCCGACGCGATGAGACGCAATGACTGTGTGCGGTCAAGTAAACCCCATCGATCTTGTTGCGGATGCGCAAATGGGTGTGTGGCGTTGTTGACCGGACAGAACACTTATTGCGTAGTGGTGAGCCCATGTGCTGTTCGCTTCGCGTTGACCTCATTATATGAAGTCCGGTAGGAGTGCACTGTAGGGATTGCCTATTCTGTGTTATGATGTACAATATAATAGTCTAGCGCCAGGACAATACTTTCCGTCCTGATCTGGTGACTTCGGACCAATCCAACACACTTTTCCAGCGGTTGCCTAGGTATACGGGTCCGCTGAACTCAGCCTCACCCTGTGTGGACAGAAACGGTGAACCTTTTGCTGCCCCTTATGATGTACTATTTGGAAAATTAAGCCATCATCATGGCGCATCGGACAGGAAGGTCCTACCTGGAGTTCTGATCCGTGACATTAGGATCGATAACAAGCTCTTGCGCTGTCCTTCAACGTGCTCCATCAGGAGTGTACTATTATGACGGTGAGCTGTACACCAGTAATTAAGCCTTTTGTAGGTGATTGTGTAGCAGCTGACCTCTACCAGCTTTTCCATTGATTTGTCCAATGCACAGCTATCTCCTTTGCTTGTCATCCACCGGTGGAACTCAGGAGTATTGCCCCTCGCTCTAAGCCATCATTGGTACACAGTGACAGTGTTCGTGCGGTTTGAACCAGCTGTGATGATGCTTTGCTGCTCATAGCCCATGCACCGCCTCCTCCCACTTGCCATTTGTTTTCTGTTTGACACCTCGCAGTTTGTTTCTGTTAGGTTACATATCCAGCGCTCCTTGGCGATGCGACGAGCTCATTCCACTATAAGCCGGTCATTTGAGCACCTTCGGAAGAGCGTCATAAGTTGCTTCACTAACAGGACGTGGTGGAAAATCACTCGTAAACGTACTTTCCTTCACGGTTGTGCATTTCGTTGCCGTCCCCGTGAGGCCACGCCACAGTATGGAGCATTCATTGTTAAGTTGTTGCTGCCACAACAAATCGCAAGGGGTGGTCTTCCAGTGACATTTTCATCGTTTCAGCAGCCTTCACTCAGTCCACATGTTTGATTCTGATCAACCAGTATTCATGGGTGGGATCAACTTCAGTAGCACTTCACGATGAGTATAAGCTGTTAGCTTTTCTGTTGTTGACAGATGTATAGTACTCGGGCGCTCAGTGATTACAGTTTAAACCTTACTCCTCCCAATCAGAACCATCCCACCACATGGTTATTGCTCTTTCGCCCAGCATGCTTTTGTTCTGGCTGGATGCTAATGACCGCGCAGTGTCAGTTGCTCGCTCTCGGGTCGCACTCCGCGTATCCACTCTCATTATTGCGATAGTCACGTGAACCAAACAGTGCTCTATTTTGGCCTAACTAGCTGTCTCACGATCGATAGCCCAGATTCACGTGCTGAGGTATATGGTTGTTTTACACACACACACACACACACACACACACACACACACACACACACACAAATACACACACACATACACAAATTAAAATATCCGATCACAGAGATCCTGTAAACCAGTGAATCGTAACGGCGCTTGAGTCCGATAGTTGTTGTGGACATAAACTATGTCATACGCCTGATAGTGTTGCACTGTCCTGAACAACAAACCGCATGTTTTCACTCTCAGCGCGCAATGAATTTTTATTCAACCGTTCGTTTTATCGTGTAGCTGTCACGCTCGATCGAACGGTGCATGACAGCCGGAAGCCCGCTGTCAGCTGTGCTAAGTATCATGCTTCGAACAAAGCATCAAACTTTAATCGAGGAGGTGACAACGAGATTTCACCATGCGTCACCATCTTAGAAACAACCTTCCTAATCTCGCCAACAGCCGGACAACTTAAGTGAACGGCGGTGGCAGCGTCTATCGGTTTCAAAATGCATTGGATTACTGACCCTTAGTTAGTTAATCTACGATGCGTCTCCCTGAAAGAGCTTCACTTGCACGCCGATCCAGTAGTTTCACATGCCGGTTTTCAGTGAACAGGCAGGCGACAAAGAGCATGAGTTTCAGCCGACTGCGTTGATTGCAGAGTAGTCGTTTAATATTCCAGCGCATCTGGGGGATTATTGGCACTCACATACGGGCTAACAGAGGGTTTGAATCCTCATTCGAGTGCGACATATCGCAAGTGGCACTTGGAGTTAAGGACCAACCGTCTTCGTCCCACCCACTAAAAGTAAAAATTAGTGTCCAGCTAGCCTACGGAGAATCAAAACAAAGACTAGGACGCGATCCAGATTTTGCTGCTAAAGAACAAAGGGACATTTTGTAGATAAATTTGAATCAATATTTTAGTGTAGCACACTTTTAACGGCCGATCATTGCTAACTATCTACCTGAGTTCCTTGGCTCATGCCTATCGTTTATTCGTAGCTGTTAACACCACTCCTAGCTTAACAGAAATGAAACGGCGCGTTGTTCACATTGTCCCTGCTACAGAGCTAGTACAGCGCTGCCAAACTCACCCGGGTTTCACCGGTATTCCTACAGGGTGTTTTATTAATCATGCCCGGAGCTAGGAGCGAATGCACTCAGGTGCTGACGTACCCCGGTACGCTGAATTGCTAACTGTCCAATGGTGCAAATTGAATTGCCGGCAGGGGTGAGATGAACACAAAGGCGCAACATGTGCGTCTGCGACCGCAGGGCTCACCGAGCCGTTCGGCTGTGATAAATGAACGTTAGCAAACACCGCGGCCGCAATCGAACTGTCATGCGTGGATCGCAGGGCAAGACCAAGAGAACACACACCGTTCTGCTGCCAGAACTGGACATGAGCCTGACACCATAGTAGCACTGCACGTGTCATGCTTCGACCGCTTGGTAGTCGGCCTTCACGCAGGCGAAAAGCCCAGCAAAAGCGTTCCCTGGGAAGTGGTTAGTGGGTCGCTATGCTTGCAATTTCGAAAGACAGCTTGGCCGTATGTGATGACCGGTCGGTGGGCACCGTATTGCTATCGCCACAAAACCTGTTATCGCCTCATGACTGGCTTCCAACAAACTTGTTAGGCTGCTTTCGCTGCTAACGGCGACCATACTGTCGGGGCATATTGTAAGGTTACAGTTTTGTTCGCTTTACCGTTTTGATCGCGTGTGTGTTACTGCTGAAAATTCACCCTTCATGGGTGCATAAAAGCGAATTGTTGACTTGACTTGACATGACAATGCTCTTAGATTTCAGTCTCTCCGGAAGCACTAGTGGCACCATTAGACAGCACACCAATTTAGTCATGAACGCAGCTATTGCGCTCAAAGAGAGACAAGTGATAGTTGTACAAATTGATCAGGCCTTCGATGGTGTTTCTGGTGTTCAACTGAGAATATACATTTATTCACTTCTTTACTTGTATTTACATGAAATGTGTGAAATATCGATAAATATCAAATATTTAGATGCTCGAAGTGCCCACCGTCGTTTTGGCTACGGTAGATCATTCGTCGAATGGTGTTGGCGAGCACTTTCTGCAATGTCTCCAACAACTTCAGCCTATACGCGTTCACAATGTTCTCCTTCAGCTCATCCAGGTCTTTGTGTTTCCTTCTATTAACTCTGCGCTTTAAGTATTCCCATAGGAAAAGATCCATGAAATTCAGACATGATGATCGCGCAGGTCATTCCATCGGCCCTCCGCGACCGATCCAACGTCCACCGAATGTCTCGTTCAGGTAGGCACGAACCGATTACGCCGAATGTGCAGGTAAGCCGTCCACCATCCACTAACTGTTATTCATTAACCCTTACGACTGTAGCTGCGGAATGACGCTGCTCTGCAACATTTCCATGTACGAGGATGCTAAGAAATGTCAGACATTGGTGGTGTTAACCAGCAGCCTACAGGACACACCTGGAAAAGAAAAAGGGTCCAATGATTTTTCGATCCGTCAACCCAGCCCAGGCCATGATCTTCGCGCTATGTGTTGCACACGTAAGCGCTCCATTGCCGTGGGTTAGTTGCTGTCCAAACATGTTGTGTATTTTCGCCATGCAGAGGGAACACCGCCTCGTTGGTGAACAAAATGAAATACACGTCCAGTGTTTAAAAACAAACGGTTGAATTCCAAACGTTTTGAGGAATCGCATGCGTTTAACCCTTGCACTGTGTCGGAATATTTTCCCTTCACTATTCGATGCACAGTTTACGCTGTGGTTTTGCAATGTGTAAGTTGCCGAATGCTGAGATGACTGCTACTGCATACCTCTTGCGTAGAAGCGAGACGGGGCGAGGCCGTCCGCTTTGTTTGATATTGCAAAGCTCTAATTCGTTGATATTTATTGATATTTCACACATTTCATGTAAATACAAGTAAAGAAGTGAATCAATGTATGTTCTCAAGTGAACACGAGAAGCACCATCGAAGGCCTGATCAATTTGTACAACTATCACTTGTCTCTCTTTGAGCGCAATAGCTGCGTTCATGACTAAATTGGTGTGCTGTCTAATGGTGCCACCAGTTCGTCGAGGCACCCTGCAATCCAAGAGCATTGTCACGTCAAGTCAAGTCAACAATTCGCTTTTATGCACCCATGAAGGGTGAATTTTCAGCTGTAACATACACGCGATCGAAATGGTAAAACGAACAATACTGTAACCTTACAGTATGTCCCTGCAGTATGGTCACCGTTAGCAGCGAAAGCAGCCTAACAAGTTTGTTGGAAGCCAGTCATGAGGCGATAACAGGTTTTGTGGCGATAGCAATACGGTGCCCACCGACCGGTCATCACATACGGCCAAGCTGTCTTTCGAAATTGCAAGCATAGCGACCCACTAACCACTTCCCAGGGAACGCTTTTGCTGGGCTTTTCGCCTGCGTGAAGGCCGACTACCAAGCGGTCGAAGCATGACATGTGCAGTGCGACTATGGTGTCAGGCTCATGTCCAGTTCTGGCAGCAGAACGGTGTGTGTTCTCTTGGTCTTGCCCTGCGATCCACGCATGACAGTTCGATTGCGGCCGCGGTGTTTGCTAACGTTCATTTATCACAGCCGAACGGCTCGGTGATCCCAGCGATTGCAGACACACATGTTGCGCCTCTGTGTTCATCTCACCCCTGCCGGCAATTCGATTTGCACCATTGGACAGTTAGCAATTCAGCGTACCGGGGTACATCAGCACCTGAGTCTAGTCACTCCTAGCTCCGGGTATGATTAATAAAACACCGTGTACACCATGGGGCCCGAACAACACGGTCGTTATACATTGGCGTAAACAACAGTTCAGAGCCGAACTCTCCCTACGGAAACTGCAGCCAAGGGCCCACTCATCTGCACAGATCAAAACGGAGTTGCCCTCAATGCGAACACGGCCAACTTACGCCGCAATTTCCACTGAACTCACCCCAGTCTCACTGTCGTATCTCCCGGACTCTCTTTAGTTCAACAATTAGCCTCTTGAGCCGCCTTCATGCCGATGCCCTAGTCACCGTGCACACTCAGCATCTGTGATGTGCTCAATGTCTTAACAGCAACGAACCCACCCCATCTGCGTTCGGAGATATGACCACTACATGGCAACTCGTGTGCAAACAACTATACGCCTTCCCTTGTCGTTTATACAATTACTACTGTTTCAGTGTACCATTCATATGAAGGCGTAGAGAGCACGATTGCTTTGGTTGATTCATTAAGGCGCTTTTACCATTGACCAGTCTTCCCTCTGCTAGTCTCGCTACAGTTGTGCGGCGTTTACGCGTACGTATGCCTTCTCATTTACGGGTTCACGTCTGCCGGCTAGGTCCACTGGCCGTTCCAATACCAATCGTCTAGGCTACTCTGCGCGTAGGAACCAACGAGTGAAAGATTTCGTCCGTTCCGACTAGGAGTGTCGTAACCCAACTAGGACTTTTAAAACAGTCCCAAACTAATTCTAGCCGTTAGTTCGCTCCATGCGAATGTGGTTGGCTTGTTTTGGCGACGCTGATCGGCTTTCCACCTACTCGGCCGATCAGTTGCTATCACACCGTACGTCGTCAGCTCAGGGTCAGTGTCGCGAGCGGGGAATTCGCTTGCTTTTTCCCTGGACCAAAAGCGTGCCTGACTCAATACTGCAGACCAATTCCTCATTGCTCGTCAGGCCCGTGTAAGCGTGCCCAGCTTGCGTTGTTGGCGTTGTATGACTTTTCATTTCACTTGTCATGCGTCAGTTTCGCTCGCTTAACCTGCCAGCTACCACTATACTTGGTGTACCACGGATTTCCGTATTACAGGCGAATCAGTCATTCGTTTCAGCTTCTTCAATGTTTACTGCCCATGATTTGTGGCAAACAATTTGAGTGGATTCCCAACGGGGCACGACTGCAATTGAAAACTGACAGACCCATGACCGTCTTGAATGTGACCAGGCTTATGAATGCTCCATAACTATAAGACAAGCATGTGAGCAAGGTTCAGGCAATATATATGACCAGACGATGCTGCTTGTCCCGTGCATTCTACCGAAGAACCAGCTGTTGCTCATCAACTCGCCCTACTTCTTTGCTGCACCGACTTGTTCTGCCTGACTTATAGGACTTTTGTTGACTAGTTGGACTGCTGGCACATATGTGGCTTGGGCAACTAGGTCTTGTTTTCTCTTTTTCAGCCTGCCTTGATCAGCAATCAATGCTTCATTTCGTTTTTACCTGGCCCCAAAACCTACCATTGATTATTTGGACTACCATGCCCTAATCAGCATCACAGGAACCTTTTAATTTTCCAAGCGTCATTTCAGTTTGCCTTGACCTGAACACACTACTTGCAATTACAACTACTGATGCTTTGGTTCCCAAGACTAGACCACTAATTCCTGTTTGCTAACTTACCAACGCATATTGGGATTTTCCAAGCACAAGTGTAAACACTGTCAACTTGCCTAGTCGGTTTTATGTATTTCTTTTATAAATGTTACACACGTATTATGAACCCTGCACGAAGTTTATCATCCCACTAACTGTTTTTCTATCATGTCTTAGAAAACACTAAAACATATGTGCAAATAGATTTAGATTTAAATTGTCATCTCTCAGTGCTGTTTTCTTACATTTTTTTAGGCTATTCCGAATGGGATGAATGATCTGTCTGCCCGACCCCGTAATTCATTCCAGTGCAGTTCAAGTGCTTTGGAACTTTTCCAGACACACTTTCACGCACTGTTTGCACTACACTACTTGATATCCACAGCAATGACGTTTGTTATTTTCTTCCTCTTGTTAGCTTGCTTTGCTGCTATTTCCTTTGAAGTTTCGCTGGAGTGCTCATCCCTAACACCTGATACCATTTCAGAGCTTGTTACTAGTGCAAATATTACTACAAATGGAACTGCAGCTGATGGTTCTAATAACCCTGAATGCTACTGGGGGAAACCGAGTATACGCTCTTCGTCAAGGTGTTGGGCTCGGTGCTTTCATCTGGAGCTAGGCTGCGACGACGTCACATCTGGATTTCAATACTGTCTCATCAATCATAATGACGTAGGAGGAGCGGTGGACGGTTCCATATCAACTGTGGCTCTCTTCTGTCAACTCTCGACTTACTTGTTCAAACCTAAGCTGAATATGATGGCAAATGGGTGGAGCTTTGGGCAGTGTATACAAGCCGCTCGCGGTGCCCAGTTGCAGACTTCACGAGGTTGCTGGCGTTCACAGTGACAAATCCGAAATCGGATGCCACCGACTGCGACTACGGCTACTAGGAACTTGTGACAGGCTGAGAGACAATAACCCACTCTAGTGGAAGGGGCACCTTAAAGTACTCATTGTGTGAATGGATTGCGACGCGCGATCTCAATATGGACCACGAGTCCGGTTGTAGTGAACCTTGGTCAATTCGATGGACGTAGCGTAGTGACAACCCCACGACTCCGGGTTTGAGTGCAGCAGTCTTGCTAACTCCCTCAGATAACAAGTTCGAAACCGGTCGTAGAGTGCAGCATTTTGGAGTTGGCAACACCGGATATCCAACTCCCCTTTTTGTTGTATTTGGAATACCCACCGTGTGCCTGTATTGCGAAACATAATTTTGATTGAGGCTACAGTTTGCTTTGAAGCAAACCTATGTCATTTCGATCAATGGGATTGCATCCGAAGTTGAGAGTTCCGGAGCTGCTCTTTCCAAACAATGTCGCGAAACAGCAACTAGGAAATTCTTCATCGTTTTGTCAAGGAACAATCTGCACTGTTATGCCTATCACTTCCAAATGATCAATACGTAATAATGCGTACCGAACTGCTGCTTAAGCTTATTTGGCACCGACCGGTAACGATCTTGAGTACACATGAAGTAACAGCGATCTGGTCGGTGAGGTATACCAGAGCAAACTGCATCACGCATATTTTATTTCAGAGGTGGTTTCCCGTGTAACTAAAATTTGCTTGAGTTACAAAGTCAGTCACTTTAATGGAGTAAGTAGCCATTATCCCATCTTAAGCCCGCTGACTTGTTAGTCATACAAGCATTGAACACCCATAGGAAACCTGTCCACTCCTTGAGGAAATCACAACTGAAAGCACACATGTGTTCCGTGAAAAGGCGCCAAGGGTTGCACAGGCGCA